TCATTGTTGTCAGCACTGCACTCAACCCATTTAGCTTCAATATATTAGTGATCACTTATGACAACTTCCTTTCTGTCAATAATACTAATGAGCTTAAATATCTCCACTCTCCTCTGTGCTACACTTATAAAAACCACCATTATCTTTCCACAGTCTTGATTTTGAAAAACTAAAGAAACTCAAGTATTTACTGAAACAAAAATTGCATGGTTTGTGAAGTCCTCTGGAAGAGTCAGCATGGGAACAAGGGAGACACAGCAAATAACCCACTCAGGTTTCTGAAAGGAACTGAGATTTGTTTCTCCAAAGGCTCCTATAGAAATATGGCTCTAAGAAAATTTAAGGGAAGAGCATTGTGCATAGAAATACAGGAAATAAAGGTTAGGAATCCGCCTCTCTCTCAGAAATATGGCTCTAAGAAATTTTAAGGGAAGAGCATTGTGCATAGAAATATAGGAAATAAAGGTTAGGAATCCGCCTCTCTCTATATATATTCTGTTCTATCAATGGAGAGAGGTTTCAGTAGATCTGCGCTGTTTTATACAGAACTTAGTGATCTATAAAAGGGAACTTAGAGCAGGCTGACAGATTTTAAGTGACATAAAGTTACCCAAGATATGAAAAATAAAGGCTGATGGCAAAGAGCTGTACAGAGACTCACAACACAGTGACCAGGCAATAATATGGCCTCTGAAATTACATGATATAAAGGTAAAACAATGGGGAAGTAAAGCAATCTTAACTTTACACAAAGAGTTATGAGCTCTGGGTATTTTCATTCAATAAAAAAAAAAAATGTTGCAATTACACTAGCTCAGTCCCTGAAAACTTCATCTCACTTCCCAGGGGTACTTGCGAAAGGAAACAAAAATACTTGGAATTACTGAGAAAGAAAAAGAAAACAAAACAGGATAATGCTATAAAAATCCACTTGTGTGGTCCCACCTTGAGTACTAGGGCAAGCTTTGATCCTGCCACCACAAAAAAAACCGACATCGTTAATGATTAGCACATCATAAAGATCACTTCAGTGCAGTGTCAGCTGCCTCCTGAGCAAAATTCCACGTTTCTGTAAGGATGAGCCCATCCTCTTAAGGATACTTCATTCTTCTACAGCACTTGTCAGCCAGGGATCTCAAAGCATTTTACAAAGGAAGATAAGCATCATCAAGCTTACTTTATAGCTGGGGAAACTGAGACCTAGAGCAGCAATCCTACTTGTTGAAAAATAAATAGCTAACGAAGGCAGAGACAGAAGTGAAATCTTCCTATCAGCTCACTTATGCCGACAGTTAATTGATTGTTAATTGGCAGTTAGTTGTTAATTGAATTATGTTCAAGGAGACCCAAACAGCAATGAAAAAACTGTTCAGTTCTCAAGTACAAGTGAAAAAAAAAATATATTAAAGTTGAACGTCAGGTTTAAAGAAAACCCTAAATAGTTGGTCTGCCAGTTTGAAAAACTGAAAATTTAATGCAATTTTAGCTCTAAGAAATATTGCAGAGCAGTTCGTATCTGGGATCAGTTCAGAAACAGTAGTAAATGAGAAAAAAAGCAGTTCAGTTAACTGCCTCTGGTGCCTATTTTCTAAGGTTCATCCTCTGATCTTGCTGCGTTTTCATGGTTCCGC